TTGTCATTAGAGAGTCATTATCTTTTACTCCTCTTCAACCCAGCACTGCTCTAGAGCTCCAGTCATCCTGCTTTTATTATGGAAAAAGATAAGTTAGATAGATATGGTAGGATAATACTATATTGAGTGGAAATTTGGGTGTTGCAGCAGCACGAGGACAGAAATCAGTACAGATAAACAGAGAGAAGGAATTTAAATAAATTAGATAATCCATATAAATAAATAAAAATAAGAATGAAGGTAAAAATGGAAACTAGACAATGCTAGAAAATACAAAGCAAGAGTGACACAAAGAGTGACACAAAGAGTAGTATATGTAAACAGTGTACACCAGAATAAAATATAATATGATTAAATGATGATACACACTGTTTATCTCTACTGATATATATAAAAAAAGAAATATAATGCAGTATATAATATAATAAAACAGCATATTAACATAATATAGTATGGAGCATAGTATTTGTATTAGTAGCTTTTATGTTTGTCTCCAGTATGATCGTCATGCACAGCCGGCTGCTGTTAGTCCATAAACATTAGAGGCTTCTACTGTTGACTTTAAAGTTGAATTAACAACACCGGCTTCCACAAAGAGAAGAGAAATGTTTGTTTGTCCAACGACGACAGCGATAATAGTAATAGTGAGTCTGTAACGGTTTACCTGCATTTATGTGCAACAATAAACTTAATACAATATACAAACAAATATATAAGAGGGGAAAAAAGCAGGTTTTCACGGCAGAGATCAGCAAAGACAGCGTTTTAAGATTTAGTGTGGATGTGGTCCAAACTTTAGTACTTGGAAATCCTGTCACATTTTTCCAAGTTGAGACTCTGCTTTCTACTACTGGGTGATGAACCTGTTATACCGGTTTTAATTTCATATACCGCCATACCAATGCATAACTTAATAACATATATTATTATATCTTTTATTGTTTTTAAAGGTCCAGTGTGTATTTAGTGGCATCTAGCGGTGTAGTTGCAGATAGTGACTCAATTATTTAACCCT